AACTGTGCTGTCATATAATATACTCTTTTTGTATAGATTACACTCACCTAAGATTTTGTTTCTTCTTAGAATTTGATTGCTTCTTAACATGAGATTAAAGTGTAAATCTGCTGTGTGTTTTCAGGATGCAGGCAGTCGCTGTACAGCATAGTTTGAAAGTCTAATCTTCTCAGTGTGTCCTCTGACAAACATGTCGAGAGGGGAGAAATAGATGAAATTATAAATAAGCAAACATCCTGCTGAGAGAAAATTAAAAACATAGAGTGCTTTTGCCTAAGTTGTAAACTAAACAGTGACTCTCATACTTTGAAATCTGAAGGATACAAGTTAAAGTTTTAATCCTCCTGTTGTTTAAAACATGATGATTCCAATTTCTTTGCCTTTTAGACCCTTGAGGGACTAAGAAACATATAGGCTTGTGCAGTGTGGACAAATTGTTACCATGGTTTAAATGACCTAAACTTAAAGAGTTTTTAAATTTTATTAATTTTAAAATTAATGAACTCCAAGCAAACCTTGCTGAAACATTAATTTTAGGGTCATTTATTTATACCAGTTCCCTGCATTTATTTTCGTGTGACCACTACTTGGTAGTAACCATTTACCATAATAAACTAATGAAAACTATTACATTTTTTTTCTTTTTTTTTTCCTTAAGAGCAGTAAAACTGCCAAATGCCCCAATGAGAGTTAAAGGCCTGAGTGCTTTTGAAAGAACTTTTTGGGAACCTTTCTGTGACCGTGGTGCTCCTAATGCCCATAAAGGTGTTCCTATAAATCAGTGTTGGAAATGGGGTTTGGGCTACTGTGTGTGCTGGGCTGCCAGGAGAGGGAGAGCAGGCTCCGTGCCCTCCCTCCCGAGGGTCTGCCCCACTGCGCTGCCTGCCCGGGTTTCTGCTGCACATTTTCCTTTATTGTTCTTTCTCTAGGGACAAGAATCAGTTCTTTTAGCCAGGCAGACCTGGCCTCACGCAACATCCAGTATGTCCACACCAGCGACACTGAGGAACACGCCGACGCGTTCACTTTTTCTGTGTCCGATGGAACGAATGAGGTAGGTGCCAACTTGTTTTTTTTTTTTTTTTCCCTAAGTCAGATGGGGCTCTTGGTTCTGTAACATGTGATGGGAGCCAGTGTTTCCTCCTGTGTGCTTGCGAGACACAGCTTTTCCTTTCCCTTCTCTTGCAGGTGAGCCAGACGTTCGACATCACCATTAACCCTGTGGATGATTCCCTGCCTGTAGTGCAGAGCCCTGGGATGAGAGTTCAAGAAGGTGTGAGAAAAACCATCACAGAGTTCGAGCTTAAAGCAACAGATGCTGACACGGAGGTAAGGCAGGACTCCCCCTTGCCTCCTGTCTATCCTGTTCTGCTGCACATGTGGGCTATCAGAAAAAAAAAAATGGGCTTGTGTTGAAAGAGAAAGATTATAATGAGTGTTTTCCCTCCCTGCTCATACCCTGTCTGATCATAACTTCAAACAAACAGCTTTATGGGAGGTCCCATTTGTATATAAATACATAAATGAGTGTTTGAGCAAAGCAAAGTCTTGGCTGGAGAAATGCATACTTCATCTGGGGTGTCTCTTGGATACATAAACAGCAAAAAGCCTGCATGAAAAGTATGGAGACCTTGCTGTGATCGGAGCTAGTCCTTGCCCTGTCCTCACCTCCTTCTGGATGTTGTGGGCTTGACCCGAGTAGCACTGAACATGTGCCTGGCGTGGATGAAAACGGCATTTCCTGCTTGTTTTTCTGGGTCTGTCTGGAGGGTAAGCAGTCCCCTGCTGGCTCTACCTCATTGGGCTGCAGTTTCTTTAGAGCGAGAACTGTTACCGCTCTGTGCCAAAGCAAAGGATTCCACTGCTTCGTGGAGCAGCTTTGCTTACGCATCACCCCGTGCCAAAGTGACAAGGGGCACAGTTGCTTAGAAGGGCTGCAGGAGGAGCGACTGCTCTTGTGTTTGAGGGGTTGTCACAAGGGTGAGAGCTATCTCAGACCAGCCAAAGCAATAGTGTGGTCTGACGGATCTAGCCTAGCTCTCCCTAACTATACTTTTTTTTTTTTTTTAAGCTGGGAGAGGGATGGGGCAGTGTCAGGGCTCAGGGCGACCTGTTCCAGTGTGCAATGTTGTTTTTCGGCCCTGGTTGGCCCTGCTGTACTAGGAAGGCCGACGGGCTGCAGAGGATGCCTCTTCAGGTCCTTCAAGCTAGAATGACCTGCCCATCCATGTGCTGGGGACCCATCCTCACCGTTGCCAACCTGTCTTCTTGGTGCAGGCTGAGTCAATCACATTCACGGTTGTGCAGCCACCCCGGCATGGCCTGATTGAACGCGCTGTCAAGGGGCAGCGTTACCACCAAGCCACCACCTTCACGATGGATGACATCTACCAGAACCGCATCAGCTACAGTCACGATGGTAGCAACTCCCTGAAGGATCGCTTCACTTTCACGGTATCTGATGGAACCAATCCCTTCTTCGTTGTGGAGGACGAGGGGAAAGAGGTAAGGGAAGGAGGAGGGAGGTGAGGGAGATTTTCCATAGCTAGTAGGCAGCCCCTCTCAGAGGAGGAAGGTCCAGTTGCTGTCACTGCACTGAAGGAAAGGACTGAGTATTCTCACTTATGGGCCACTCTGAGTTTGTTCACTGGTGTCCCTGCTAGCCCTTTGCATGTGCAAGTTTGCCTCCAAAGAAGCTGAGGGAGCCAGACTGATAATACCGTAGCTAGAGCTTTGATTGCCAAATTATCATTCCTAACTCTGAATGTTTTTCAGGTTGTGACAGCAGCACCACAGCGCTTCCAGGTAGACATTCTACCTGTGGATGATGGGACACCCAGGGTCATCACCAACCTGGGCTTGCAGTGGCTGGAGTACGCGGATGGCAAGGTAGCCAGCGGCCTGCATTTCCCGTAGGCTGTTACTCGGGCTGTTTCAGAAGGGGGTTCACAGAGGAACCCGACATTGTTACTGTTTTGGTGGAAAGCAGGTGCTGCTCTCTGCTCACAGAGAGGCCTGCCACAGGCAGGGATTTGCAGGGAACCAGGCTGCATGATGCAGGAGAAGACATCTCTGCAGCCTAGGGCAGTTTAATGTTCACTCTCTCTATTTCCCCACCCTGGTAAAGGTGTTTTCTTTTTAAAGGGAAAGCAAAATGTGGCAAAACTGAAGCATGTCTATATGAGGTTGTTGAAAGAGGAGTAATTCGTTTCAGTTAGGACTCGCTAAAGCAGCATGAAACGTTCTGAGTAAAACTCTTAAACTTGAGGCCATCTGCAAATGTTTTTGGCCAAGGCAAGCCTCGCCTGGGCATCAGCCTCATTCATGGTGGGGTGGTTTCCAGGTGAAACCAGAAGGTTTATGTTAACTTTTAGTCTGAGCTAGGCAGGACTTGGCCCTTCTCTAAATTGCTTTTA